TTTTACTATTTTTAACTTGGATGACTATATATTATTTTTGAATAGCTTAGTTTATTTTTAACTGACACAGTCTATTATTATTATTATTTTATGTATTTGGCACAGGGTCTCATTATGCAGCTGAGACTCAATAGTGATCCTGTTTTCAGCCCCCAGTGCTGGGATTAGAGGTGTGTGCCACCACATCCTGTCTCAGTGTCTGGCTCAGTGTGCCTGGGGGCGGGGCTGGCCCTGCATGTGGTGTTAGAGCTTGAACCCCAGTCCTTGCACTTGCCTATGCAGGTGCTTAGTTCGCTGAACTATCTCACCATCCCCCACAGTCTTTATTTTTATCACAGTAGAAATGATTTGTAGAGAAATGCTGTCATTCCTGAGGATAAATTAATCTGTCTTCCTCCAAAATAATATTTACCATGTGTGAACAAAGCTTATTTACTTATTTATTACGCTTTCCATGGTATTTTGAATTTGAGTCATATAACTAAATTATTATACACATATGTAACATGTCACATTAATTGCTCCATGTCTGATTTTTACATGTTTCTAGTATATTTTATATTGTATTTATTGCTTTGATTATACAGTTAACTGCCAGAATACCTCTAGGCATTGAAAACACTAATTTAACAAAATGTAATGTTTCTGCTGTTAATTATGGATTTAGGGAAGGCACTTCCTGCCACAAATATGAGACTGGGCTTCTGGCTTTATTTCTGCCAAGCCCACACTCCCACTCCTCCCATAGGACTAGGGATTAAACCCAGATCCTTTGCACTGCGCTACCTTGATAACCCATTATTTAGTTTTTAGTTTGGGCCAAGGTCTTACTGAATCACTAAATAGACTAAACTGGGCTCAAACTTAAGATCTTCTTTCCCCAACTTTCCAGAGTGCTGGGTTATAGGCATGTGCCTGCATGCCCATCTTACCAATTTATTTTTTAGTAAACTTATTCAATTTACTTATAGATAGCATTGTTTCAATTGAAACATGAAATGTCTTTGTCTTTTTAAATATATATCAGGCTCTGAGTTTTAATCTATCATAAGTTTTTGATTTATGAATATTACTTCCAAACATTCCATCATGGTAGTCATTTTAATTTAATTTTTTTACTATTTCTAATATTTTCTATTATATCTGTAGATACTCTGTATTGAGCCTACTTTGATCTAGAATTGTGTCATTAAGATGGTGGATGGTGGATGGTGGATGCATGGATAAAATAGGTTATAGAAAAGAATGCCACCAAATCTATTCTTCTCTGGATTCTTGCATTAAGCCATGCACTTTCATGGAAAATGGGGACCTAAAGTAAGTTGCAAAGTGATTAAATAAATAGGAGCATCATTAGATGCTTGAAAAAATTTTAAATCTTTTAAGAGCAACCATACAGGAAAGACAATTGAAAACTGACAGCTTCTCCATATGATTATAATATTATTCTGCCTTAAAAAGAAGTAAAAGGAGGGCCGGCCAGATAGCTCAACAGATTAAAGCACCTGCTTAGGCAGAGGCAGGGACCGGGGTTCAATCCTCCGGGGTGGGCTGAGATGGCGATTGAGACTGGGCATGGTGGCGTGCGCCTGTAATCCCAGGGCTTGGGAGGTTGAAAACAGGAGGATCACTATGAATCCGAGCTGTGTAGCGAGACCCTGTACTAAATACGTTAAAAAAAATAACTAAAAGGAAATACTAAAGTGTGTTATTAGTCTTTTTGTTTTATTCTTTTGTTATAAGTCATACGATGTTAAATTCAAAGGCCTTTTATGTTGTTCTACTGTCGAGGCCTATTGTAAGCTAGCTCTCATCTCAGAGTCTGTGTGTCTGTGTATGCTATTAAGGCTATTTATTAAGGTAGTGGCTATGGTTAGGATATTACCAGTCAGTACCAAGTAGTGGAGGCCTAGTAAGCAGTGGCCTCTTCAGAACCTTGTGGTTTAGAATAGAGGCCACTGACGCGCAGTAATAGTGTATCAGACCTGCTGAATGTCACATTGAAGATCTGAACTATTTTAAACATGATTGTCTAAGAATAAACAATTTATTAAAAATGGAATATGGATTTTAAATCACTTTTTGTGCTGACTTTAGTTTCTTGGTGCAGTTTACGTATACATAATGATCACAGTCATCATAGGGAATTTGTACCTGCAAGTGGTATTTCTTGCTTTCTTTATTCTTTCCCGTTCCCCACGCCTTTCTTCAGTTTATCTTCCCCTTCTTATTTACAAAGCTTCGTTTCTGTTATGCCCTTTCTCTTTTTTTTTCATTTTTTCCTTTTCCCTTTTATCCTCTCTGCCCGGTATCCTTTTCCTTTTACACAATTATTTCATATTTCTCAATGTCTGTTATACATTTTGGTTCTTACTTACATTTTCCCAAAGGTCCATCAGCTGATGAATGAATGAAAAAGATGTGGGTTTTTATACAATGGCATACCACTGAGCCATAAAGAAGGGTAAATATGAGACATTTATAGCTAAATGGATGAACCTCGGGACCATATTCTTAAGTGAAATACATTGGATGCATATGTGTAAATATCATATTGTCTCTCAGGTGTGAGACATTAAATCATTTATAAAAAGAAAATTGAATTGTTTACTTAAAAATATTTAGAGTTATATAAAGTTTTCCTGACCTTTTATGTGACTTAATATTTAGCAGTCAGATAAAGCTTATAGCCGCCCACTTTTAGAATGCCTCCTGTTTTGTATACAAAAAGTAAAGTGGGTAGGATTACAAGGAAATTGCTTACATTGGAAGTGAGACTCCAAGTTGTGAGTTCTAGGAAGGCGCTAACATATGTCAGAGTTCCAAGTAGGTTTCTGTTATTTCCTACTTCTCTGTTGCTGCTATTTGAAGTTATTCTTATCTTAAAGTCAATATACACTTAAAATATAGGTGAAATATCTCAATTCTGTGTCTCAGTGATTGAAGAACCTATTGTGGATCTAGATAATTTATGCAGGACTGCTTTAAATTTTCTCATCAGTAACTCCAAGACTTACAGAAAAATTTCATATTAAGATCAATGTCTTAGGGCCGGGGAGATGGCTCAGTGGAATAAGCGCTTCCCTGGCAAGTGCAAGGGCCTAAGTTCAATCCCTGGTTCCGGGAGAAAAAAAAAAAGATCAATGTCTTTTATTGGTATTCTTCAAAAAATATAATTTCAGAATTTAAGAAATAGATTGATATGTAGGTATCCCTTTGATTATTGTGAACAGATACAGAAATATTGCACTAAAACATGTCATAAATTTTTAGCATATTTATTTCTAAAGAAAAGTATTCTAAAAGAGCTTATTGGAAAAAATAGAATTATGATTTTTATAGTGAGGTTTACTTGTGCATTTCTTCCTTTGGTCTGTAATTAAATATTTTATATCAATATACATTTACTCTGTAATTTTGACAGGTTCTGGAGACACTTACATAAAAATGCTTAATTTACCTTACAATATCAATTTCATTCTGTTACCTAGACTTACTTACAAATTATTTGACCTATATATTTACCCTATTCTTTTAAAATACAAAATAGTCAGAAGATATGATGTAGCATAAATGCAGTACTCACTTCGTAAAGTTATCTGACCTATTATCTGTTGCTCTAGAGTTTTATACCATATCATTCATGTCTTTTGGGAAATTGTATCATTTTCTTTCTTATTTCTGTTTTTCTTTAATTGCTTATACTTTTTCATTTTAAAAAATAAGATTAAAGGAATTCACATGTGAAGTGAAAGTCCTTGAGATTAATGTTTGCTTTACTCACTATAATTAAACATTTCCATTTGTTGTTATAAATGGGTGGGGGGCGGCAAGATAGCTCAGCGGACCAGAGCGCTTGCTTAGGCAAGCACAGGGACCATGGTTTGAACCCCAGCACCACATGCTGTACCAACCCCACCCCCAGGGTGGGCTGAGCCAGCCAGAGTCCTGGTGTAGTGGCGCATGCCTGTAATCCCAGCGCTGGGGAGGCTGAAAGCAAGAGGATTGCCATGAGTCTGAGCTGCGTGGTGAAACCCTGTAACAACCAAATACATAACAAAAGAAAGAAAAAAAAAACAAAACTAGGTGTGGAGGTCATGACACAAATTATATTTTTGAGTATAATTATTACTTGAACTGTGTATCCAATGTTAGTGCTTTTAGAGTTGTTCTACGAATTGTGAGATTAGTGTCAGAAAACATTTATTGGTCACTTAGATGCAAAAGCGTTGTGTTGAGGTTCAGGGATACAAAAATCAATAATGATAGGTCACTTAAATTTAAAATTGTTCTTTCAACAAGGATTAAAATTTAGTATTAGTTTTGTTTATTCTTGAAGAGAGTGTATTGTTTCATAATTATTTTAATTAATTAATGCTGATTCTGCATTGGCTGCTGTTGGTCATGCACTGAAATAGATGGGCCAATCAGCCAGTTTTCTGCAGAACAGTTTCTCTCTCAGAGCTGGGTTTAAATATCACTGTACCCTTTACCTTGGCCCAGTTTTCCTATAAGCTCATTTGGATGCTTCTCTCAGAATATTCAGGTATACCAGTATAGCATGATTATGTTAAAAGCCTGTTTATAACCTTGTTAATTCTGCTTAATCCTTCAGAGACTTAAGAATGAGTGCTTATATGGTTTTTACTTCAGTCTTTTGAAAATATTAAAGAAAGGCCATTTAATTCTTTTAAAAAAGAATACATAGCGCACATGTTTCATTTAGGGAATTCACTATGGAAAGCAAGCAGTTTGGTGTTCACTGATGATAACAGCAATTCCAGTCTCTTCCCTGAGGAGCTCTGTGAAAGACATAGTTTGGTTCCTTAGAAATTTTTAAGGAATTTAGCGAGAATTTGCTCAGCATATGTCGGGGAACTTCTTTTCTACATACTCAGGAATCTTTAAAAATTACCTTTTCAAAGTCAGTTTGATGCATCATGACCAAAGAGCAGAGGGCACTAAAGGTCAACTGAGCTGCTTTGTGGCTGACGTTTCAGGGACTGTGACGCAGCAGATAGACAGCCGTATCACAGATCCAGACCACCAGAACAGCGGCCTGTCCTTGAGCGGACCACCACCCGCTCCAGATCCACTGAGCGTCCCGACTCAAACCTCATGAGGTCGATGCCTTCATTAATGACGGGAAGATCTGCCCCTCCCTCACCTGCCTTATCGAGGTGAAAGATGAATCAATCGATCGGACTCACTTCCCCTTGCCCCACCAGCACACCGTTTTATTTTCCCAACAATTAAGTGGTCTCTTCTGTCATCTCTGGCTGATCACTAATAACAGTCGATACTAATCTTTTCAGTGTGGACACACTATTTATATTCAGTGGATATAATAGTGTGTGGTGATCATTGTAATTTGTTTATTAATTGTCCTGACTGCATTTGTTTTGTGATTTCTCATTACTCAGGAGTGCTGGGTAAATCCCCTTGTAACTGCTGTATGGTGTTCTCCTACACAATGAGAAATTACTTGTGTCCATTAGACATCACTTCTCTAATCATCATAATGACAATAAATAAAATGGACTTTTTAGTTTTTTCTATCTACATTAATAGACATGTATCAACTAGTGTTTTCTTTAGTAGAATTTCGCAATAGTCAGGGTTTATTACAGTTTCATGAGATATCTTCTAATGAAGGGATTTTTCATATAAGCCTGAGTAAAAAAATCTGGATCAAGGAGGGAAGGTTAATGTTGAAGAGTTTGAGGTCTAGTAGAAAGAAATGTAAACTCTTAGCTCATTTTTAAACTGCAGAGTTCTCCTTTTGCTTTCATATGAATAACATGCTAATTTACATTCATAATTTCATGGATTTATTGTAGGGCTTTGTGTGCATGTATGTGTGTATGTATGCATATTACACAAAATATAAACATCTTTTTCTATTCAAATAATCACTCAAATATCCATATTTTGTCCTGTTTTCCTAACCTTTCAATCAGCAGCTAAACCTCTTTTAAAATTGCACTTACACAGCTATCATATGAGCGAAATGTATCAAAAGTGTTTTACTCACTGTGCTGAAAATGAATGTTGATAACGTATCTTGTAGATCGCACCCTCGCACCGGGTCTGTCCAGACGAGCCCGTCAAGTACGCCCTTGGCAGGACGGAGAGGCCGACAGCTGCCGCAGCTCCCAGCAAAAGGAACACTGGAGAGAAGTAAGTGTTATTTCTCCTCCGTCATATAGGAAGTACACACGGCAGCTAAAATGATTCGTGGTGTTACTACCTTCATGCTAGTTATCTTCTCTCATTATTTTATGCTTTGAGTGCATATCACTGTCCTTAAATTTATGAATGTTATTATATATTTTGTAGCTGACATTTATGATTTATATGCAAACCATATTCTTGCACATTTTTCAAATTTAAATGAATGCATTTTTAAAAGTAAACTTAATAGTCTTAAGTAAACAGTTGGATGATTTGCTTTGCTATAATTAAGCTTATGTAGTTGCTCGTAATTACATAAAGTTTATTAGTAACTAGCTAAATTAATTTTCACACACTGCAAAGGACTGGTTAGCTGATGCACAACAATGGTGATACCTCTCAAAACTGGAGTGCAAGAAAAAGGTAATCATAACTATACAAAGAAAGATGCATGTTGTACTGATACTCTTAGTAATTTTGTTTTTTTTCATAAGAAGCAGTATTTGCTAACATGCACATGAACATACTTCTCCAACACCATAAATTCTCAGATAGAAGACCTCTGTAAGCATGCATAACAGAATATAATATTTTTAACATTATTTAATAAGTGAAGTATATATACAACCAGATAAATATGTTTAAATCACCACTGAGCTTTTCTTTAAGATACAATACATCCTTTGCCTTTGGAAATTTATGTTGTTTTAACCCCTGTGCTTTGGTTCCCTTTTTGTTTTGTTTTTATTTTTGTTTTCCCTAGAAAATGGAGTCAAGGAGATAGAACCTTATGAAGGTCTGTACATGAAGGAGGGTTTGTTTTGTGCTGGTAGCCTTTGCAGGGCTGAGTAAGCAAAAATAAACCCAACTGCAATTGATGTCCCTTCACTAGAGCTTTTATACACAGTTCAATTATTTTGTTTTGGGATTTCTGATAAACACTCAACTTTAGCTTTGAAATAATAGCGAGGAGTTAATTTTTGTTTTTGTTTTGTCAAGAATGCAAAGAATTTACCTTCTTTAAATGACTACAAAATATTTCCCCTTTTAAAAATATTTAATTTGCCTTTTAAGATCTCTAGATTTTGTGTAAGCATTTGAAGATATCAATTGCAGTCTCTGTTTATGTCATTGAGGATGTACACGTAGTCTAGTTGTATTTATTATCATATATTACATTTTGTGTTCATGATGTGTAATTGCTAAATTTGGCTTTCTAGAAAAGAAGTTATTGAATTAATGATTATGGTTTGTGTGTCCTGCATTGTTTTTCATGTAGCAAGACTGCTTATAGTGTATCAAAGTTAAATATGACAGACTTTTATAGTTCTATCATTAAATACTACATCATGACTCAAGGCGGAATAGAGTTGTGATGTGTGGACTGTGACACATTTATCAGAGTAATGAAAATACTCCGCTAGGAAAGTTCTGAAATTGTTGGTTGTTTTATATATTGTTGAATCTCCAGCACAGAAAATGACATCTGGCACATTGTAGGCGCTGAATAAATGTTTCTTAAATGAATGCATGGAATGCTTACTTAAAAACTAAAAAAATTATCTCAGGTAGTGTATCCTGTCGTTCGTCATTTGCGATACTAAATTTTATGTTTGCAGCAAATTTATAAATGCATTGCATTTGAGCAGCAACACTTTCATTGCTTTCTGTAACTTGATATAGGTTGTGTTCTTTAGGTTTTTACTCAATGCTTATTGACTCCTATTTTGTGTACTACTATTTATTATGTACCATAATTTTAAATAAATTGAAATTAATGGTATATTATGCTGCCTGATAAAATTATCTCAGCAGGATTCCTATAGCCTCAAAATTATTTGCACAAGACTGAGAGGATATAATTTTAAATTTTCATAAGAAAACTTCACTAGTATCTGTAATATTTTGGTTTTCTCAAAATTTTTAAAGATTTGAACTTTTTGGCGTGTGAAGTTAGAAGCATAATTTATGTCATAATTGTTTTAAAACTTCAGTTTTAATATTTTATAGCAGTAATCTATTGAGCTATCAGTAGGGTCATTCTGATGTCATACTAATTGCAAGTATGCCCCAAACCCAGCTGTATTTCTAGAGAGTCAGGCTTGATAAAAGTGCTGTGGGCCTTGTGAATGTTCGATTTGCTATTTGGTTTTTCCCTATAGAGTACATTAAAACCATGAGTTTTCTTTAATGTCTCCAATTAAGGTTTTTCCCTTTTTTTTTCTTAATTTTTTATGTATTTGGTGCAGGGTCTCACTATGAAGCTTGGATTCATAGTCATCCTCCTGTTTTCAGCCTCCCCAGCGCTGGGATTGCAGAGGTGCACCACCACACCCAGTCTCAGTGGCTGGCACTATGCTCCCGGTGGTGGGGGTGGCAAGGACTGCTGTACTGGGGATTGATCGAACAACGGTCCCTGTGCTTGCCTAAGCAGGCGCTTAGTCTGCTGAGCTATCTCGCTGGCCTGGTTTTTCTATTTTTTTGCTTTATGTAAGGAAAGGGAGCCAAAACTTCAGTTTTAATTTTAGTATGAAATGAAAGGGTGTTATCTGCTTTGTTTTACTTACTTGCATGAGATGGCTTTTAAAGTATCATAAGTAGTAACGTGAAGATTTCAGCTGATACACAATTGTGTGTTCTTGAGTTTTCCACAATTTTCTTGAGTTTTTAAAAAGATAGTAAGTCTCTGAAGGATTTTCAACTAAGTGATTTTAAAGGTACAGTTACCTCAAATGGGCTATTAGTTTTCAGTCTAACCCTAATTATATTTGAATATTTCCTATAAAGTTCATCAGGATTTGTAGTTTAATGACATTACTCTAAAATCAAAATACATACAGAAATGTATGTTTTCTAACTCTCTTTGGCAACTAAAATGAGCAAGTTGTACTTAAATTTTTATCATTTTGGTTATTTAATATTGTTAACTTAGTTTAAATTCTTATATATTTTAGTTTTGTTACTGGTACTATATTTTGTCCTCCTGTCTTTGCAAAAAATTAGAGACTAGAACAACATAGAAAGTATGATGTATTTGATTACTGTAAAGCATTATCACTATTTTTCCCCAAAATGATATACTGCTATTTTATAAAAGTAAAAATTGATATTATTTTTGTTTCTCTAGGACTAAAGTTATATTATTTTTCTAATAATACACCCAGTTAGTAGCTATTTTCCCTGCTTTACCTAATTTACAACACATTGCACATATTTTGAGGCCACTGTTTCTCTTTATAGACAATTAACATCCTGAAAGGAGGCAGGCTAAGAATGACCAGGAAACGTACTTTGTTTTCCATCACACACCAGAGGCTTTTGAAAGATGATCTGTTGGTCTCCTTATATTCACTCATTCTATCATAATAGATATTTTGTTTTGTTTCATTTTTAAAAAAGAAATACTGCTGCTTGTCTACGTGGTCTTATTTTGTCTTTACTTTCACTCATGCACGTGCAGAAACTTCTGAAGAGACTGTGCATGAGGAGGCGGCAGGGGTGGCGAAACGGGGAGAGGAGGCCAAAGCAGGTGTGTGTGTGTCTACCCCGAAAGCCTAACGCTGTGCGAGCGTGACTTGCAAGTTCACAGCGACTTGTGTTCATGTTCACGATCTACAATCAATGCCATGTTGCCTTTCAGTGCTAATTCTGGGTAATGATGTACTATCTGCCTATTTTAACCTAATTTTACTAGTGAAAACGTACTATCTAAGTTATCTAAACAACTTACCAGATTGATTCACCCAGCTGGGTGAATATTTTCTTAATGTTTAAAACATTTAGAGACTACGATCTGTACACACTTATTATTTCCTAAAATAGGAACAATCAATTTCTTCATTATAGTTCTTCCTTCTGGGTCAGTGTTGCTGTTGTATTTGTCAACAATCACAATCTTCTCCCTTTAGGATCGTCCTCTTAAATGGTTCGCAGACACATCATTTCTAGTGTTTTGTGAACATTTTATATTTACTTATGATTTTTGCCTTTTGAGCTAAAATCATATCAATCTGCTTATCCATCTATTTACATATTTTAAAAATAAAATTTAAATATTTTTCGGGGAGAGGGCTCAGTAGAATAAGC